TATGGCATATTTTCAGGCTGATACAGAACGAGACACTTTGCTGTGACATTGCCAATGCGCCAGCTCCCTTCAAGCGCTCGGCTTCTTTGCCTTTCCAATCCCCCACCCCCATTCAACACGTTAAAAATGTTTGACCTGAATCCAAACGTTAATTCTGATTTTTGTTTTAAATAGTCAGGGTATGTCTACACTACAGCGTTATTTTGAAATATCTTATTTTGAAATAACGCATCTACTCACGAAATGCATTTCGAAATAGCTTTTTGCTATCAGGGAGACGCGGGAGAAAGCCCCGGAGTACACGGGCGGCAGGACCGCGAGGTCCCGCAGTCCGTGTCCTCCGGGGCGAGCCCCGTTCATAACTGCGGATCCGACATAAGTCGGATCCGCGTAAGTCGGGGACTGCTTGTAGCTATTTCTCATTTGGCATTATTCCTCGTGGAATGAGGTTTACCAAATTTGAAAGTGCTCCGCTATTTCGAATTAATTTTGAAATAGCGGTTTGGCTGTATAGACGCTAGTAAAGTTATTTTGAAATAACAGCTGTTGTTTTGAAATAACTTTGCTGTGTAGACATACCTCAGTGAACAAAACAACCCTTCAGTCACCAAACGCTATCCATAATGCTGTGGCTTGGTCAGAATTCAACAGGTTACATCTTCTAATCTGGTCTATTCTAAGCACTCAAAGGGATCCTATCACCATTGTTTCTGAAGTGTCTGATAAAATTAGGAAGAGGCATTAAAATGATGAAAATGATGAAAGGGCTAGAGAACGTGAGCTACGAGGGAAGACTGAAAAAATTGGGCTTGTTTAGCTTGAAAGGAGAAGACTGAGAGGGGACATGAGAGCAGTTTTATCTAAAAGGGTGTAAAAGTATCTAAAAGGGTGTCACAAGGAAGAGGGAGACAAATTGTTCTCCTTGGCCGCTGAGGATAGAACAAGAAGCAATGGGCTTAAACTGCAGCAAGGGAGGTTGAGGTTGGACATTAGGAAAAACTTCCTGCCTGTCAGGGTGGTGAAACACGGGAATAAATTGCCTAGGGAGGTTGTGGAATCTCCATCTCTGGAGATATTTAAGAGCAGGTTGGACAGACACCTGTCAGGGATGGTCTAGACAGTATTTGGTCCTGCCGTGAGGGCAGGGGACTGGACTTTAGATCTCTTGAGATCCCTGCCAGTTCTAGGAGTCTATGATTCAATGCTCTAACTAAGATAGTTGTATCTTTAAATCCACACTTTAAGGCTACCGAACATGGGCGCTGATATTTCAGGTCAGATTGTGAACGGGCTGTTGGTCCAAGAGTAAACCAACTTTGGCCTTTGCTCTTTCTGAATCATAATCCCCAGATGTTACCAGCCCTTCAGCAGAGCTCTTGGACAATAAACTTCGAAGGCGCCCAGAAAGGACTCTGCTCTGATCGTTGAATTCACTTCCCATCTAGGATGGGCATGGGACCGAGAAGCCCTGAATTTTCCTCTCCCGCTCTCAGTCCTTGCAGAGTTCTCTCCAGCTCAGTGCCAAACCCAGCAGCAATGGGGTTTCCTCTGCTTTGGAGGCCTGTCTGATGTCCACGTCTTCCATTCCAGCACAGAGGGGCGTTTCTCTGATGCCGGCTCAGCCGGAGTAAACATCTAGAAAGCTCCACACATACCCTAGCATGATTAATGACTCCTCTTGTGCATGAGTTCCCAAGCCACGACTTTCTGGGGAGGACCTACCAAAGCTCCAGGGGGTTTCGGTGACTCTTTGTTCTTCACAGGAGTTAATAAAGATATAATGGGGAGCTTTCTGGGGCTGACTCCTCCTTGGAACTGGGACTTCTTCTCCGGCTGGCCAGGACCGCGATGATCAGCTCTGAGGTTTGACTTTCCCTTGTTGTCCTGGATTGTTTATCTGTCACGGCAGGGTGTCCAGGTGTGAACACATGGTTCACACAACATGCAATTATTGTCTGAATCTGCAAAAGCGGCGAGGAGTCCTGTGGCACCTTATAGACTAATTGAAGTGTTGGCGCATACGCTTTCGTGGGCAAAGACCCACTTGGTCAGATGCAGGACTCCTCGCTGCTCATGCAATTATTGTGAGGAAGGAGGGCAGGGGCTCAGAGAGCACACAGATCAGGGAAGAACGACTTAGTTGGGGAGATAATGTGTAGCGTTCACTGAGTGAATACTCCTGCAAAGGATACCTGGGCTTTGCAGAAGAGTCTGAGCAAGGAAGAACAAACGTGCTTTGCTACTGGGGTCCTCTGAGGTCTTCCTGCTCCAGGATCTCTTCGATCAGGTTTCTCCCATGCTAAGGCTCTTAGCTGCTCAAATGTCACCGGAGCCGGGCGGAGGTGTGAGTGTAACCAAGAAAGCGCCCGGGAAGTGTCCGGATGTGCAGATAAAACCAGAGTCAGAGTCCTAGTAGGAAGCTGCTTGCATGTAGAAAAGTTTGCATTTTTGTAGCTGTCTAGTAGCTCCACGCTGGACTTTCAAAGCTCCCAGATTTCACTGGAAGCTGAGCACCTAACTCCCTTCGGCTCCAGGGAACTCCCAGCCTAAAGTGCCTGAAATGTTCAAAAGCTACTTGTCGGACAGAGATCATGGCTCAGCTCCAGCCAACACAGGATGCGTCTTTGTTCCTTTGATTTGTTTCAGCGTGATAGAGATTTATGGATCTCCTACAGCATCTGACTGCTCAGCTGCAGTCACTTATGTCAGCCAGTAGACACGGGCTTTCACATCACCACATCTTGAGTTCCCTTCCTTGGACGGGGGCTCTCTTAAACTTCTGTGCCCTAGCAGCTACAGCAAGGTAGGGAATCTCTGAGGTCAACAGGCTGGCGGTGGGAAAATTTGGAGTGGTGAGAGCCGGTGGTGAAGCTGCGGAATTACCCGTGTTTCAGAAAGGGAAACTGAGGCATGGAGTTTGTAATGTGTCAAAGGAGAAATTAGGAATCCACTGAGCAATGGGGAGATCCAGGAGAACTGGTCACATACGTCCCTTCTTTTCCATGGAAAATCCCACGCCAGGAGGAGGGATGACTTATTCCTGAGCCCAAAGGCTATCTAATCCCTTCATCATTTTTTTCAAAAATCATCTGAAAATTCCAATTTTTGTATTAACTATTGAATCAAAATTTTGAATTTTTATTCAATATTTAACTCAGTGGTTAATGTCATTCATACCACCTCACACTTTTTTCTCCCTTGAATTTTTATTCAATATTTAACTCAGAGGTTAATGTCATTCATATCACCTCACTCTTTTTTCTGCTCTTCCTTCTCCTGCCCCCATTTCTCCACATGTCAAATTAAAAATGTGGGAGAAAGTGTCTGGGAGGATATGGAAAACAGAAAAAATAATTAAAACGAGAATGTTTTGGGTGTTATTTTTTTCAAAAGTCAGATCAAAATGGAAGTTTCAGGATGTTTGACCATTGCAGACTAAGCGTACAGACGACATTCGTGTGTTCACGGCATCTAAACGATGGTATTTCAAGTTCTTCTGCAGAATTTGTAGGCACCCCCATTTTCTCAGCTGAGTACCTGCTTTGGGGATCAGTCAATGGGATGGAAGGGTCGAAGGGTGAGCCACTATAAGGGAAAACTTGGTCACTGTCTTAATACAGGTTATGGATGCTCTGCACCTCTGATACTGAGACCAAACATTCAACATCCGAATCTCTTAGTAGGCTGGTCCTTATGTTTTGTCTATTCTAGCTTTTGTCCCACCTTGGTGGAACTTCACTTCCATTTATAAATCCATGGTACCACCCACAGCTTGAACACTGCATGCAGATGTGGTCGCTGCATCTCACAAAAGATATCTCGACATTGGAAAAAGTTCAGAAAAGGGCACCAAAAATGAGGTGGGGTTTGGCATGGGTCCCATGTGAGGAGAGATGAATAAGACGGGGACTTTTCAGCTTGGAAAAGAGGGGATATGGGAGTAAGGGGGGATATGGGAGAGGTTTATAAAATCACAATTATGGTGCAGAAAGTGAATAAGAAAAGGTTATTTACTTGTTCTTGTAGCACACGAACTAGGGGTCACCAAATAAAACGAATAGGCAGCAGGTTTAAAAGCAACCAAAGGAAGTATTTCTTCACATAACACACAGTCAACCTGTGGAACTCCTTGACAGAGGATGTTGTGAAGACTAGAACTTTAACAGTGTACAAAAAAGAGCTAGATAGATTCATGGAGATTAGGTCCATTAATGGCTATTAGCCAGGAGGGGTTGGAATGGTTTCCCTGGCCTCTGTCAGAAGCTGGGAATGGGCGACAGGGGAGGGGTGACTGGATGGTTCCCTGTTCTGTTCCCTCCCCTCGGGGGCACCAGGCATTGGCCACTGTGGCCGACAGGACACTGGGCTGGGTGGACCTTTGCTCTGACCCAGCCTGGCCATTCTGATGCGTCAGTCACTCTGGTCAAAGTGACCCTCTGACATTTGTTTGTGATCGTCAAGTTGAGAATTTTTGCCTAAGGGCAACTGCCGGCAATCACTTGCCAGCCCAGAACCTCCTGGCTCTAGGAAGAACCCGAACCCTTCCTAGCACTGCCCCATCCGGGCTGCAGGCGGATGATTTCAGACTGGGGTGAGCTGGTGCCCGTTGGCTCAGCAAACTGCCCCTCTTCCCGCCCAGGCGCCCCATGCCGATTCCCAATCAGTACAGTCCCCCATAAACAAAATCAGATGGGGGGGAAGTCGAATTTAAAGGGGTGGTTGCATTAAATTGACAACAGTGCATGGAACTAGGGGGCTGATGGAGGGGGCATTGTGTGTGTGTGCAGGGAAATCCCTTGCTCTTTAGGTTTGAGGAGCTAGTATTGAATTTAGGATTATGCGGAACTATCTAAGCCCAGACCCAAACCCGGAGTCCGTCTTAGGGTGCAGTTAGCCGGGATTCCAAATCAGGAATTTAAAGGTAGAAATACCCCAGGGACCTTTTATTCATTTGTATTCTCATCATGATTCCATTCCCAGGTGCGTATTAAAGACATACAATGGAGCAGGAGAACCGCACCACGGCCGTGACTGAATTTGTCCTCTTGGGCCTCACCCAAAGCCCCGCACTGCAGGGGATCCTTTTTGTTGTCTTCACCGTTATCTACCTGACGACCTGGCTGGGAAACGTCACCATCATCACGGCCGTGATCTCTGACCCCCAGCTCCACACTCCCATGTACTTCCTGCTGGCCAACCTGGCCTTCATTGACGTGAGCGACTCCACCGTCAGCGTGCCGAAGCTGCTGTCGGGTCTCCTCTCCCCGCGCAAAACCATCTCCTTCCACGAGTGCCTCCTCCAGATGTTCTTCTTCCACTGCATTGCCGGCGCCATGGTCTTCCTGCTGGTGGTGATGGCTGCCGATCGGTATGTGGCCATCCATAAGCCACTGCAGTACTTGACTATCATGAACCGGGGCGTGTGTGTGGGGCTGGTGGCGGGCACGTGGCTGGGTGGCGTGGCTCATTCCATCGTTCAGATTGGACTGGTTCTCCAGCTCCCGTTCTGTGGGCCGAACGTCCTGGACAATTTCTACTGCGACGTCCCCCAAGTCATCAAACTGGCCTGCACAGACACCTACCTCTTCGAGCTGCTGACGGTCTCCCACAACGGGGTGATTGTCATCCTCATCTTCCTCCTCCTGCTCATGTCCTACACCGTCATCTTGCTCAAGATCAGGATGCACCTCACGGAAGGGAAGCGCAAGGCGCTGTCCACCTGCGGCACCCAGATCACAGTGGTGTGTTTAATCTTCGTGCCCTGCATCTTTGTCTACGCAAGGCCCTTCCGGAAATTCCCCGTGGACAAGGTGGTCTCGGTCCTGTACACGGTGAAGATGCGGAGGGCCATCCGGAGACTCGCAGGCAGGGTGATCTCCTCAGGGAGGGAAATAGAGACATAACGTTTAAAAATGAGTTCCGACCGCGATTGGCTTTTTCTATGTTATAACCATGACACAGGAACTTCTCCAGTGTTAACGACTCTCCTGTTCGTTCGCTGTGTGAGATCTTCGGTCAAGCGCCCACCATTTTCTCAGGGCGGAGGGCCATCCGGAGACTCGCAGGCAGGGTGATCTCCTCAGGGAGGGAAATAGAGACATAACGTTTAAAAATGAGTTCCGACCGCGATTGGCTTTTTCTATGTTATAACCATGACACAGGAACTTCTCCAGTGTTAACGACTCTCCTGTTCGTTCGCTGTGTGAGATCTTCGGTCAAGCGCCCACCATTTTCTCAGGGTTCAGTTTGTTCAAACTCCAAAAAAATACAATACGCACAGAAAGGTGTCGACCCTGCGATGGGGACTGGCCTCCCTTTTCCCAGGGGAAAGACTGTTGGGAACCGAGGCCTGCTCATGCCTGGCCCAGCCCGACTCCTGCCTGGAAGTTTGAGAGCGAGAGTCTCTCTTTGCTTCCTCATGCAGAAGGCCATCTTCTGTTCCAGTCCACGGGCCCAGCCCTGTTCCCACTGACTTCCCCAAGGGCATTGTCCTTACAAATAAAACCCTCCAATATGCTCCAATACATCTGTCTATAAGGTGCCACAGGACTCCTTGTTGCTTTTGCAGATCCAGACTAATATGGCCACCTCTCTGACACTTGACACCATGCAAGGCACTGCATTTAGCTGTATGGAGTGGAAATCTATCAACCTCATAAGAACATAAGAATGGCCGTACTGGGTCAGACCAAAGGTCCATCTAGCCCAGTATCCTGTCTGCCGACAGTGGCCAGCACCAGGTGCCCCAGAGAAGGTGGACCAAAGACAATGATCAAGCAATTTGTCTCCTGCCATCTCTCTCCAGCCTCTGACAAACAGAGGCCAAGGACACCATTTTATCCCCTGGCTAATAGCCTTTTATGGACCTAACCTCCATGAAATTATCTAGCTTCTCTTTAAACTCTGTTATAGTCCTAGCCTTCACAGCCTCCTCTGGCAAGGAGTTCCACAGGTTGACTACACGCTGTGTGAAGAAGAATTTTCTTTTATTAATTTTAAACCTGCTACCCATTAATTTCATTTGGTGTCCTCTAGTTCTTCTATTATGGGAACTAATAAATAACTTTTCTTTATTCGCCCTCTTCACAACACTCATGATTTTAGAGACCTCTATCATATCCCCCCTCAGTCTCCTCTTTTCTAAGCTGAAAAGTCCCAGTTGCTTTAGCCTCTCTTCATATGGGACCCGTTCCAAACCCCTAATCATGAAGAAACTTGCACAAGTACAGACAGATATCATCTTTCTCTTCAATTGCAAATGGATGGACATCGTACCAAATGGACTGAAGGTGAAAAATCCATTGCAATTGCATCTGACGAAATGGGTCTTTCCCCACAAAAGCTGATGCCCCAATACATCTGTTAAGTCTCTAAGGTGCCACAGGACTCCTTGTCGCTTTTGCAGATCCAGACTAACACGGCGACCCCTCTGATACATAAAATCCCGTTTCTCATCTCTGCTGTTAGTGTGGGTCATGTTAGCAGTCACGCTGGGGATGTGTGTGCGCGCGTGCTGGTGGTTGTGTATGAATGTGGTGTGATGGGCGATTGTGTGTGTGACGCTTCCCAGATGTCCCCAGGGTAGTCAGACACCCGGCCACTGCCTGCCTGAAGGGGGAAGTAGGCTTCTCTGTGCTTGCCGGAGTCAGATGTGTGACACTAGGCCTCCCCAGACACAACTCTGCATTCATAGGTTAGTGACCGGCACACACCAACCCAGGGGCCATCCACACATCCACCTGCAGCCCTTGGATGCTCACAGAGCTCACAGTTCCCCTAGAGCCAGAGGAAACTTACCCACCTGGCCCTCGGATTGCTGCTCTGCTCAGCAACCATTCCCGGGCACACTTTTTTGGGAAAGCCACAAGAAGTGTATCTAACAAAGGACGGAGACTGGAGAAGAAGCTATTCTGCACATTCCTGTGAAAGATCCATTTTATGTTTTGTCTCATAACTTCATGCCTGTGTGTTGTGTGCGGGTCTGGCAGAGAGAATGTGGTGTGTAACACTTTTCCATGAGCCCTTAGATGTGTTACACATTTGTGTGTGTATGGCTTTGCATGGGTGAGACATCTGCGTCTGCCTCTTTGTACGGGCAGGCTATGTTTGTGCATGTGTATTGGAGTTGTGTGCAGGCAGTGGGGAGGAATTGGATGCAGTGGCAACTAAATGCATCTCTGTTACATAAAAGAACCAGAACTGTAGTTGACATGAGAAATTTTACTGAATAAATAGTTCCGTTATTCCTATGGGCAGCAAACACAAGCAGGCTTGGAAGAATTCAGACAACGGCTCCATCTACAATCACAGAGCACTAGAACTTGGAAGGGACCGCCAGAGGCACTGAGTCCAGCCCCCTGCCCTCATGGCAGGACCAAGCACCATCTAGACCATCGCTGGCAGGTGTCTGTCCAACTTGCTCTGAAATATCTCCAGGGATGGAGATTCCACAACGTCCCCAGGCAATTTATTCCAGTGTTTCACCACCCTGGCAGGTAGGAAGTGTTACTCACAGAACAGTTGACACCAGCGTAGGGGGTTTCTCCATTGGAGAAGGATCACCCCTTGTTCCATCAACAGAAACGCTCTGCCAATCATGGTGCTGGGAGATCGGGTAGTGCCTGGGGCAAAGGCAAAGAAGCAGATAGAGCATTGGGAAGTGCCTGGGGCTAGCGGTAACTTGGTGCCCAGGGAGAACTGGGGCTGTCAAAGCTGGTTGTTTCTATCTAGGGGCTGGCGGTGTATGCAAAGCATCAGGAAAACAATAGGCTGTTTTGTTCTTTTTCAGCCTGCTTCTCTAAGCTCTGTGCTGTCTTTGGACAAATACACAACACTTGGTTCCAAAGAAACAGCTTCCGTGTCCCTGTACAGACCCTGGCTCCCAGAGGGGAACCGTGGGCAGTTCCAAGTCCACGTAGTACAGCTCTCATCCAGGAATAGGTAACTCAGAGACCCCTCTGGAAAGGGACAGGATCGTGGGGTTCCCACCCCAGAGAGGTCAAGACATAAGCCAGCCACGGGAAAGCTGTGTTCTCAGGGGCTGGAGAATGGTCTCTGACATAGCAGCCTTCTAAGGGGGAAAGTCCAGTCATGGCAGACAACTTGGGCATATTTTCTCCTAAGAAAAGAAGATTTAAGAAGAACTCAAAAAACAGTCTTCCTGTTTGTTACGGGTGGTTAAAAAGGGGAAGGTGATCTGCTATTGGCTGTTCTCCATATTCGCAGAAGGTAGGGCAAGAAATAATAGAAAGACTTATGCACAGGGACCCCCCCTAAAATCACCTTTTGATCTCCCTGCCACTCCCTTTTGGGCCAGGGCCAGGGCCAGGGCCAGGGCCAGGGCCAGCTGACGCATGCTGGTCTCCCCCATGAAAGCACATGGTAAAAGCACACAAAAGACCCGATTTCATGGGAGGACACCAGATTTCATGGTCCATGACACTTTTTGCATGGCTGTGATTTTGGCAGGGCCCTACACTTATGCCGTAGCCAACTTTTTTCTATCAACATGGCTATAGCGGACAAATTCCATTTGGTGGTATCCTGCCCTTCCTGGAGGTTCAAGCCACAATGATTTAGGGTCCTATTTTCAGCTAATTACAATTTTGTAGTGCACCTCACACTATTATATCACCATGTCATAATTCATTCACACATCACAGGGTACAAACATGCCCCAGTAGAACCTCAGAACTGAAGAATGGCCATACCAGATGATATCAAAGATCTATTGAGCCTGGTATTCTGTCTACCAACAGTGGCCAATGCCAGATGCTTCAGAGGAAATGTACAGAACACAGAACCATCAAGAGATTTTGAGTCAATCAATCATATGTAGTTGTTTTTGAAGAAGAGGCAGGAGTCATATTAGAATGAGGAAAAGGAGGAGCAAACTACTGAAGCTGGATCAGCTATGGATCCATGGAGTTTTAGGTTCTCTGACTTCCAGAGAAGTCAATGATAGACTTCAGGAGGAAGGGTGTGTCTAGACTACAGGGTTTTGTCGACAAAAGTAGCCTTTTGTCGACAAAACTATACCTGTGTCTACACTACTGCTGAGTTCTGTCGACATAACGTCCACAGAACTCGGCAGTTTTGTCAACGGCAGTAAACCTCATTCTATGAGGAATAACACCTTTTGTCGGCAGAGTTCTGTCGACAGAAGGCATTGCATCTACACTGTCCTTTACGTCTACACTCTCATGTTGACAAAGCGGCTTGCTTTGTCGACAGAACTGGATGTAGTCTAGACACACTTTGTTGACAGAGGCTTTGTCGACAGTATCTGAAGTGAACCACGTGTACATCTTATGGTAGGAGGCATCCTCTAGTTCTGTAAGGGAAACAGAGTCTGGTGTTTTTGCTCACACCACGCCCATATCCCAGGCTCCAGCTAAAATGTCATGCTGCACCCCACAGCCAGTAAATACTTCAAGCATCTGCTGCCAAATGGTTAAAATAGAAGTTGCTCAAATAAAGATTTGTAGCTGAGATTTTCAAAGGACTCAAGGGAGTTAGGTACCTGTTGCTTTTGGAGTAAGGTACCTGTTGCACCTCGTTCCACATACCCTAGGTTTCAGAGTTATCACCCTAAATTAGAAGTATTGGAGCCAAATTCAACCCCTGGTTTAAATCCATTGATTGATATGATGCGAGTACCGAGATGTCTTCCTTCATGATTCCAAATGATGCCAAGAATTTTAGATGCTCAAGGTCTCTTTCCACTCTTTCTCAGGGCCATATACACAGAGTTTATTTCCCACCCCTGGGGCTCAGATGCAAATTTCGGAGGTAACTGTTGAAGTCACTGGTAAAGTGTCCGTGACCTAGGCTCCACTCCGATGAGCCACAAGCTGGCTCATTGGTCTAGGTGTACACTAGCACAAGAACGGCCGTTTCCCAATACACTGTCCATCACCACTAGACTGTACGGTGACAGCGCTTTCACCAGACAACCAACTGAGGGTATTCCCCCCGTCCCCATCCCTTGCAACTCCAGGCAAAGTAGCTTCATCCCAGACACACAGGGATGCTCTGGGGAGAAGGACTCAAGAGTGCTTTCAAAGCACATATACTGCACTTCTCCTCCGAGCTCCTGCTGTGAGGAGCGTCGAGCCAGAACTGCCGACATATTTCCACTGCTTGGTGAGAGACACTTCACATATTGCCGGAGCAGTTAGAGGGACTCTGAATGTTCATTCTTTCAAGGATTTTTTGAATCCCCTGTCTATCTAATCTAATCTAATCTAATCTAATCTAATCTAATCTAATCTATCCCCATGCACCCCTTCTATTTAGCTAATCACTCACCAATTTATTCACTCCTCATCTACATGCAGCTCTCTTTGTCTCTTCATCTATCCGAATTAGTTGAAACTTATGGTAGTTGTGGAAGGTAAATGCTGCTTCTTGAGGAGAAAGATGTGTCCTACTATGCCTTTGACTGGCACATAAATGTCATACTTAAATATTTAAAAAAATATAAAGGGGTAGTTGGCATGAAATCTGGAAAGGGATAAGAGCTAACGTAATGCAGAGGAGATTGTGTGTATATGTTACCAGCTAGGGGTAATCATCTGCCCATCCACCATGTTTCCACAATCCGGTAGAGTTCAGGAATGGAGGTTGTTCATAACTCTGAAATGTTCGTAACACTGATCAAAACCTTATGGTGGTTATTTCAAAAATTTGCAACTGAACACTGACTGAAACTGGCTTTGAAACTGAGCTAGGCAGAAGAAACAATGTTGCTTTCACTATTTTTGGTAGTCTAGGTTTAACACAGTACAGTACTGTCTTTGCTTTTTGTTTTTATCTGTTGTCCTTGCTGCTGCCTGATTGTATATTTCCAGTTTCACATAAGTCTCAAATTGACTGGTCAGTTTGTAACCCTGCTGTTCAGAACTCAAAGGTTCTACTTAGAGGGGAACCATGGTGAGCCATAGGGAACCATGTCACTTGACTTTAGTACAGGTTGAACCTCGCTAGTCCAACACTCTCGGGACCTGACTGGAGCCAAACCAGAGAATTTGCCGGACCATGGGAGGTTGATATTGTCTACCACCGTCACCAACACTTCCACTGCTTACCAGACTCTTAGAAGATGTTTAGCGGTACATTAGAGCTAAATAACAGCACAAAACACTGAGAGCCAGGACTTGTGGCTGTAAACAACCTGTATGGGATCATCGGAAACTTGGCCGTATCCATGATAAGTGGACATCCGGCTAACTTAAATCATGCCGGCCTGCAGACGTTGCTGGACTAGACAGTGCTAGGCTAGAGAGGTTCAAGCAGTATTAGATTTACAGCCCATGAAAATTAAAGTCCTTTATAGATCACTTGAATATGGACAGTATGGTCTGTGGAAGGACAAACTTTCTCGAATTCACGGGCACTAGTGCAGATTAAGGGCAAGACAGGTATCTAAGAGTTGAAGAACAGAGTTTGAATTAGGAGCTTCCCGATGTTCTCCGTCAGATCCTCGTAAAGGGGTGTGGTCTACCAGGGAGAAAGGGTTCTTAAATTCGATCCTAAGTACAGAAAGGGGAGTGGACTCTCAGAATGAGTGATCTGGGCTCCATGAGAGATGAGTAAAGCCTCTCGGGTAGAGAAGCAGAGATTGGAAGTCAACACTCCTGGTTTCTGTTCCAGGCTTTAAGAAATGAAGGGGGGGAGGGGCTAGTGGGCTATCACAGGAGACAAGTCTACTGGACTGCACTGCAGGCTGTGGGATAGAGTTTGGTATAGCGGTTAGAGCAGCGATTACCAGGAGTCAGGAACGCACCACAGACTTGAGAAGGGCATGGGCTCTAGCAGTGAGTTTCCTGTGGTCAAGTACAAGCTCCAGAAGACAAGCAGGTTCCCAGGGATGGCGCAAGGTTGGGGAGTCGGGGTGTCTCGCTTCTGTTCCTGCCTGGGAGAGGGATCTAGCAGTGAGAGAGGGTTGCCAGGAAGAAACTCAGGATCCCTGGTTCTGCTGAGGACAAAACGGAAATGTGCAAAGTCTCGTAAAATGACTTCTTTCTCCTTGCTTCTAGGGCCATTTGCCTCGCTGCTGCCGCCCAATGAAAACAAGATCATGGGGAATCAAACCGTGCCAACTGAATTCATCCTTCTGGGATTTTATAACATCCAGAGGTTACGTTACCTGCTGTCTTTGGTCATCTCCATCATCTACATTTTCATCCTCTTGGGGAACAGTCTCATCGTCTTCCTCTCCGTGGTGGAACCACGTCTCCAAACCCCCATGTACTTCTTCCTCGGAAACCTCTACCTCCTAGATGTCTGCCAGACTACCACCACTGTCCCCCAGATGCTGGTGCACTTGCTGTCAGGCAGGAGCAGTATCTCGTATGAAAGGTGCGTGGCACAACTCTACTTCTTCCTCTTCTTTGTGGGTGCTGAGTGCGTCCTGTTGGCTAGCATGGCTTACGACCGCTACATGGCCATATGCAACCCCCTACACTACACACGACTCATGAATAGGACATTTTGCCTGCTGCTGGCATCTGTCTCCTGGCTGAGTGGCGCCCTCAATGCAGCCGTGCACACATCCCTGACCATCCGCCTGCCTTTCTGCGAGGCCACTGGGATCAACTACTTCTACTGTGACATCCCACCCTTGCTGGCCCTCTCCTGCGGAGACATCTCATTCAATGTCACCATGATACTGGTCTCTAGCATCTTCATGGGGTGGAGCCCCTCCCTGTGCATTGGACTTTCATATGGGTGCATTGTTTGGAGGATACTGAAGATACATTCTCCCGAGGGGAGGAGCAAGGCATTCTCCACCTGCGCGTCACACCTCACTGCCGTCCTGCTCTACTACGGAAGCAGTATCTTCACCTACATCAGACCCCTGTCTAGCTACTCACTGGATAACGACAGGCTAATCTCCCTGCTCTACAGTATTGTCACCCCTATGTTAAACCCACTGATCTACACGCTGAGGAACAAGGATGTGAAGAGGGCCATGAAAAAGGCACTGGTGAGGAAAATGTTCTTCTAAGAGAATCAAGAACACTGGTGTTAGTTTCTGCTTCCATAAAAGGGACGTAGGAAGCTACAACCTATGGGATCGGGCAGTCAGGACGGGGAGTGGGTTTAACTGGTTTTATGGAGAGGCATGGGGAATCAGGTTTTATCTGATGACTCTTGGAGGGGAGTGGGTCTAGGGGTTGGAGCAGGGGAGTGAAAGCTCCAGGACTGTTGCGAAGAACTTTCCTATTTATGGACGGAAGTTTTTGTAGGGATGCTAAGTGTTACTGTTAAAAGTGGAGGTCCACCACAAGGAACACCTGAGAAAGGATTAACCAATAAAACATTACAATTAAATGGAACCTTAATTTATTGCACAGATCTAGCGGCTGCATGGCCTTGCCTGCATCTCACGCACTTATGAAAGATGTGGACAAATTGGTGGGGAGCCCAAATGAGAGTAACCAAAAAGATCAAAGGTTTAGCGAACCTGACCTATGAGGCAAGGTGAGAAAACCAGGACATGTTGGTCCTGAGAAAATCAAGGTGGGGAGAAAGGAACCTGATAAAAGCTTCAAATAATTAAGGGTTTTCAAAGGAGGAGCGAGATCCATTGTTCTCCATGTCCACTGAAGGTAGGATGAGGCTTAATTTGCCACAGGCGAGATATTAGGAAAACCTTCCAACTCTCGGTACTTAAGCTCTGGAACACCCTGTCACTGGGGGGGTTTAAGATCAGGTTGGACAAACATCCATCAGGCTAGTTTAGGTTCACTAGGTCCTGCTGGAGTTTGACCCCTCCCCGTCTCTTTCCTGCTCTCCGTGGCCTAAGAGAACAACTTTTGTCCATCTGTTTTATGGCAGCCTTTGCAATGTTTGAAGACTTCTCATGTCCCTCCTCCAATGTCTCTCTTCCAAACTAACAGAGTTAGTCCCTTCTGCCTTTGCTCAGGGGTCTTGCGTTCCATCTCTTCAATTGTCTTTCTCACTCACCTGAGGGAATATAGAGCTCTATCCCTGGCTGTTGGTTCATTGCAAGGTAACCATAATGGATAAAATACATTCTATGACCTGTAGAAGTGTGGTTACCATGCTGCTTGAAGTAGCATGCAGCTCTCACGGAGGAATCTGTCTTCAGTGGTGGTGACCCTTTTCTTTAGATATATTTAAATCATCCTCCCTGGATCACTTTATCTATTGCTCTAAGGAGTGAGTGTGTGTGTGTGTGTGTGTTGAGAATGTACCAGATTGTGCCAAGTATTGTGAAAACATTTTCTCTTCCACATACACATTGAAAACTGATCAATTTCAATACTGAATATATTTTAAGCAAGATCTAGAACATGTTGTTATATAACATATTCCAAACTTCCAGAGAAATGAGTTAGTCTAAACTTTGACTTCCTACAAAGTGATGTAGCAAATGCTGTGTATCTATGTTTTAAGCATAAACTAAAATTAGAATGAAATAAGCTATTTCTAAATAGGTTCAAAATAAGCTATGCAATTTGTGTAGTGCAAATTGTGTCGCTTATTTTGAATCTATTTAGAAATAGCTTATTTCAAGTTTTGGGTGCTGTGTAGATGCACCCTATCTGTACATTTGGTTTTTCTACCCTACATGTAGCACCTGACATTGGTCTGTGTCGAATTTCACTTTGTTCTCTATAGATCAGTTTCCCAATTTATCAAGATCCCTCAAATTTCAGTTCTATCCTCTGAAGTGTTTGCCCTCCCAGCATGGTGCCACCTGCAAATGTCATCACACTGCTGTCTATTTCTACATCCAGGTCATTAGTAGAGACAGCAAACACCAGACCCAGGAGACATCCCTGAGGAATCCCGCTGGCGACCTCTCTCCAATCCAACATGGTGCCTTTAATAGCTTCTCTTTGTTTACAGTTTTGTATCCCATTATCAGTCCACTAATGGTAGCTCCCCTGAGCCCGCCTTTCTCCAGCTGACCTGTCACACTGTCCTGTGGGACTGTGTTGAAGGTTAAAAGTTAGACACTCGGCATGTGAGCAAGAACCAGCCAGCCAAACCCTGACTGACAGAAAGTTCAGAGCCCCGGCTTTCCGCATCCAATGTCCTGTCTCCAGTCCTGGCCATCCTTGATGCTTCAAAGGAAGGAGACTAAAAAAGAAATCCTTCTCCCAGAATACATTGGCGGGGAAACTTTCCTGACCACGGCAGGTTGGTGGCTGCAACCCTGAAGCACGAGCGTTTAGAAAGATAAGATGTACATTGGAAGGAAGCCCTAGTTTGTTGGTAAGTTTTTGGGTGGCACGTCCTCCATGCCCATATCTGCTAACATGCCCCATTGCACAAGTCACACCCTGCCCCTTTCTTCATCCACATTTGCTCACTCATTGTACCAGACCAAGCGAAGGTCTGAACTCAGGGACAGTATCCAGGTAGTTGATGTGATATCCCACCGGTCTATGCACAGGTTTCCCACTCAGTCACGTTTGTGTGACTGTGGGTCCCTGTAAATGTGAGGATAATCTGGCCCTCGAATGCCACACCCACCCCTCCGGACAGTGGTTCCATGCTGGAGTGACTCCAGTGAGATTAGCATGGCCAGTCTTTATTTCAGGGCTGGTCAGCAGCTTTTAATTTAAATGCAAGACTTCAGGGGCACTGGCTGGGCTGATTGAGTTGGGGTTGGTCCTGCTTTGAGCAGGGGGCTGGACTTAATGACTCCTGAGGTCTCTGACAGCCCTGGTATTCTACGATTCTATAAGACTGGTCTTTACAGAGTCATTTAGCTTATAACCCGCCCCTCTGTGTTCTCCGTGGGCTTTACAGCTAATTACATCAGATGGATCTTTAGGGGTGAGGGGCCCAAGGGGAAGTTAGAAGAAAAAGTGTTGTGTGCTCCCCATGTTGGTCATTTCAACCATCCCAGTCAGGTTTTTGCCAAGCCGGGACTTAAACACCTCTGGGGATGGCGATTCCACCCCCTCCTAGGGAACCCATCCCAGTGCTTCACCGCCCTCCGAGGGAAATCATTTTTCCTAATAGCCAACCTAGACTCCCCACTGCAACTTGAGACCATTGCTCCTCATTCTGCCACTTGCCACTACTGAGAACAGCCTCTCTCCATCTTCTTTGGAACTTCCCTTCAGGAAGTTGAAGGCTGCTATCAAATCCCCCCTCACTCTTCTCTTCTGTAGACTAAATAAGGCCAAATCCCTCAGCCTCTCCAATCATTTTGGTTGCCCTCTGCTGGCTTCTCTTCACTGCATCCACATCCTTTTGGTAATGGGAGGCCCAGAACTGGATGCAATACTCCGGATGTAGCCTCACCAGTAAAGAATAAAGAGGAATAATCACTTCTCTAGATCTGCATTCCTCGTAATGCAGCCAGCTATGCTGTTAGCCTTCTTGGATATAAGGGCACCCTGTTGATTCATATCCAGCTTCTCATCTACTGTCACCCCTAGGTACTATTCTAAAGAACTATTGATTAGTTTTGATTGGACAGAGCTATATCCATTCTCTCTATTATCTAACTGAAATAATGTAACCCTCAAAATCTATCTATCCCCATATACCCCATCTCTCGCTCGCCATTTTACTTAGTCATATGTTCAATTATAAGAAGCCACTGTGTGTTTTTTTGCTTTGTGTTAACCCCATAGATCACACAATGCTGCCATGAGGGTGGAGAATGCAACACTAGTGACCCACTTCATCATCCTGGGCTTCCCCAGCCTCCAGAAGCTGCAGCTGTTGCTGTTTTTGGTGGGCTTGGTCATATACATGGTGACCTTGTCTGGACATATCATCATAATCCTGATAGTACGTATCGACCGCCGCCTCCATACCCCCATGTACTTTTTCCTCAGCCACTTCTCCTTCCTGGAGATCTGGTACACCTCCAACATCATCCCCAAGATGTTGGAGGGCTTCCTGGACAAGGACAAATCCATCTCCTACACTGGCTGCATTGCCCAGCTGTACTTCCTCATCACCTTGGGCACTGCTGAATGCTTCATCTTGGCCATCATGGCCTATGATCGCTATGTAGCCATCTGCAACCCACTGCGCTACCCGATCCTCATGAGTAACAGTGTTTGTTTTCGGTTGGCCCTGAGCTCTTTGGTAGGGGCCTTCCTTGTCAACATTCCACCCCTGGTCTCGGTCTGCAAGTTGCCCTTCTGTGGGCCCAACCAGATCAACCACTTCTTTTGTGATAATTCACCCTTGCTGAAGCTCTCTTGTGTGGACCCCCGCGAGGCTGAGACCATCAATTTCATTGTGGCCACCGGCGTCATTGTCAGCTCCTTCCTCCTGATTGTGGTCTCCTACGTCCTCATCCTGGCGACAATCCTGAAGATTCCTTCGGCCACAGGGCGCCAGAAAGCTTTCTCTACCTGCGGCTCCCATCTGGCCGTAGTGGCCATCTTCTTCGGCACATTGATGTTCATGTATGTGCGGCCAACATCCAGTGACTCCAATTATTCAGTTGACTTCAACAAGGTGGTGTCCGTGTTCTACACGGTGGTGACGCCCATGCTGAACCCTGTAATATACTGCCTGAGGAACAAGGAGGTCCAGGAAGCTTTGAGGAAAGCCATGATGGGAAGGTGTCTACTGCTGCCCAAGGCTAAACACATTTCCAATGGGGGTTTGTAAGAGAGCGGATGGTGAAGCTGGGTACTGCAGGGAGTATGCGTATCTCAGTGTGTGTGTGTGTGTGTGTGTATTTTTTATTAAGTGAAGAATTCATTTAACTTTTCATGTTTTGGGGACATTCTCCAGTGTTTTAGACAATAGTGTTCCTAAGCAGAAAGAATTTTTGCACTGTATCTACTTCCATAGCCTACTCGATTCCTTCTCATAGACCCTGACTAAACTAAACCTAACTTATAAGCATGAACATTAAATTACCCATAATTTATTTCAGCAGGGGGAAAAAGCATATTTTACACATAATGTGACTTGTTCATATATCCTATTACACCGAAAACTGCACTCTCCATACCTTAAACCTGGCTGCAAGAAAAGGAAAGGCATGCATCT